ACGATACACGATGATGTTACTGGCCGTGAAGCGATAACTATTAATAGTCGTCGATTCATAGTTTTTTTCTTATTGAAATCATTTCTTTTTAACTAGAAGATGAAGCCGTACTTAGAAGAGAAAATGGAAAGTGAGAATGAAAACTCATCAGCGCTGTTTGCCAGCATTCTTCTTAACCCTTTTAAAGCGGGGTTTTATTCTGTATTATACAGAATAAAGGTTTATCTTGATTAAATATTGACAGAAGAATGCAACAATTTATCTAATGGTAGCTGTCTCGCGAATCATGTGAGGTGGACACTGCGAAAAAGTGCAAAGACATCGTTTCTACGGACAAAAACTTCGCAATGTATCCACCATACGCTATTATCTGGGGTTTTGATTGGCTACTGCAGAATAAAAAAAGATCGCAATGTCTTCTGTAAGGTATTCCCCTCCAAAACGATAGGTGCGATTGGCGGCTTCGCGCCATTTTGGATGGCCGCCGGAGCTTCATCGCTACGCGGCAGAAGTTCGCTCACCAAATTTTCGGCCAGTTCTAGACTAGCAAGAGTAGAAGAAGAACTAGGCTTGAACTGGCCGAAACGTTTGGTGAGCGAACAGTCTATTGATTTGACTACTAACTAGCTAGCTACTGTCTTCTTTCTCTTCGTCAGCGCGCTTACGCTTGCGAAAGCGTATGCGCTTCTTCAGGTGTGCTGGAATCGCAGTTCCGTTTCGCCAGACCTGGTGCCAAATCTGGCTGCACGTGAGCGTGTTGCCGCTATCCTCTCTCCGAACGCGATTACATAGAGGTACGTAGCCGGCGTGGGATTGAGTGCGCTGGGGGCAGAAGTAGCTGCTTTCAAAGCTTTTCGTTTGGGGCGTCGCCATTGCCGAGCATACCTTGCAAAGGTGCTGACGACGTTTGTTCTTCCCATTTCCATCATACATGTCGTTCGTATTCTGCAGGGCGTGTGGCTGCGTTCGAATTGGCTCCGTAATCAAATCCTCTGCGTTGGTGTTTGCACGCAATGTGGCTTCTGTTGTTGCTAAAAGCTCCGTTTGCAGTCTTCGCATGTACTCTGCGTGCGTCGGTATGCGTTCTCCCTTTTTCTTCAAGATGAGTTTGTGCAGGATGAACCCATTGACAATTGCCATGTCAACAAACCCCAAGAATAACTGGCGGTAATATTTTTTGAAAGCCAAACATCGCTGTATCGAATATCGCTGCAGTCGCAGCTGGTCGTGCTGGTCGACACCTCCCATACCAGTATGATAATCGGCAACCAGCTGGGGACATGGTACGTCTGCACGAACACTCTCACCCTTCACTCGGCGTCTCACACTAGTCATCGTCGTTGCACATCCAGTCGCAATCATAGACACAGGTTTCGAGTCCATCCAGGACACAGCAATGAGCTCAGGGAAGTCTTTGGCTTGAGCGACGCGATACGTCCCTCGGGGCATACGCTTGGGCCGCGTTTTCTGTGTGAACGCAAAGTTGACTGGCCATCCCAATCTGTCGTTGCGGTGCGTTCCCACGTAGTAGTAACCCCTCCGAAGTAAATCCAGTACCAGTGCACACGAGCTGTAGAAGTTGTCAGCGACAACAAGTCGCTTTGCGGGTTGTCCTTCGAGGGCTTTGTTCACGTTTCGTATAACTGCCTTCTGTGCCGTTCCCTTTGCTGCCGCTGGATTGTTAGCCGCGCCGAGATAAACTTCAATTCTGTAGCATACAGAAGAAGATACAGCATATTGTAAGTGACTTCACTCGTATTCTGTGAAAAGAGGAATCGGCAATCTGTATGATACTGAGAAACACCCCGATACTACTGATACTACTAGCAATTCTGTATCAACGTACCGAGAACAGTAGCCAGTCTCCGCGCAACACGTCATGTAAACCTTAGTCCCGTACTTGTGCGGTTTGTCCTTGTTGTAGACGCGCACCGGATTGAACTTGCTCCTGTTTGGAATGGTGCCTTCGTCAAAACTGATTCGCGGCCCCAACCGGTAGCCACGCCGAAATGTTTTCTCGAGTACCTGCAGTACCGGTCTGACTTTCCATGCCTTGTCCCTAGACGCATCTGCAGCGTTGTTACTTGCGAAATGCAGGTAACGAGTGATCATCTTGAATCTGTCTCTCTTCATAAACCTGGAGAACGTTCCACGAGGGACTGCGCCATCTTCTCGAGTAGACCAGTGTTTTTCCAGGCCATCCGTATGAGAACAAAGGGTTCGAGCAACGAGGAGACCAATCACGTGGATAATTCTGGATAGGTTTTACTCGCCGTAGCGTCTCTTCAATCTCTTGGACAGAGTCGACCTTCTTTTGGGGATCCTTTGCTTGTGCTTGAAGCTGCTTCTCTCGTTGCTGACGTGCGACAAGCGGGATGCAAGCCTCGCGATACAAATTCGTCTCCTTCTGAATCACAAACCAGAGCTTCTTGGAAAGAAAGTAGAAAAACATTCCTAATGAGGACTCTGCAAATGCTGCTGCAGATCTAGTTGGCCCCCAGTTTCCGTCGTACAACTGCGCGGCTTCAAGAGTCAAATCACCTGTTTTCAATATAATACAGAGTTAGAAAAGAATCAAAAGAGTTATTCTGTAGACGACCGACTTACCAGAATTTTGCTCGTCATAAATATTCCACCCAGAAGCTCCCAAGCGCCGCATGTCTTCGTCGGCTTACACAAATAGCTCACTGTCCTCCTCACAGTCGCTGTCAGACTCTACTTCGCTTTCGTAGTCCTCTCGTGGCGACACAGGCACATCCAGCTCATCATCGAAGTCACAACCAATACTGTCGTTGTCATCTTCGGCTTCATCGCACAGATTCACATCATCTACAGCAGCTGACCCGAACAGCTTCTACCCACGTAGCGCATCCATGAAGTTCTCTCCATCAAACTCATCAATCCCGTTGAAATCGTCTCTTTCACTCTTCGACTCGTCGGCACGTTCATGACCCGAGCGTACATCGTATTCCGGAACCTCCATACTAGTAGTGGTGCTCCCACCTTCTTGCTCTGTATCTGGCTGAATTGCTTGACCTGCTTGAGTCGACGGTGTAGAAGCTGAAGTACGCGGAGGGAAACTCGAAGGAGGAGTTGGAGGAGTAGGCGTCACCTCCCAAGTTGGTGCCGCTTGTTCTTCCGCTGGCAGCACTTCTTCAACCGGCGCACGACGGCGGGCCAACTCATACGCCGCATTCTTTCCCATGGGGATCCTTGCTGGGAGTGATGGCAAAGGTGAGAGCTCCAGCAACCCCTGACGACGTCCAAATGTCATGAGTTCTTGTTCGCCTGCACATATATGTCAGTACTGTGAGTATATATACCGAGCTGTCTGCAGAACGTACCAACGAAGTATTTAACTCCGCGCTTCTCTGCATCCAAGCGGCCAGTCACACTGGGCATCACGTACGTGAAGTCCGCACTCAGTCCTTTAGGCTTCCTCGCTTTCCATCCTGCCTTGGATAGCTCGCGCCATAACTGCTTGAACGGTTTCTCGTTGGGAGCGTTCATTCTCGAATAAATCTGAAATCTGTGGTCACCAACAACTGCCGAAAATAGCAAGAAACTGAATTTTCAAAACCTCCAGTCATCTTATACTGTCTTTTCTATTCAATTCGAATTATCCCCGGCTATCTTCCCTTCGTAGATCCTTCAAGATCGAACCACCCATCTCTACCCTTAACAAACACAAGCATGCGAGGAATCGCGACGATTACAAGCTTGCTGGAAATTATGTCCTGTCATAATTCTTATTCTGTAGAATACAGAATAGCGCTGTAAAAGGGTTAAGCAGGCTTGAACAACTTCTCAAGCTGACACCCACTTCACTTGACTTCATTATGCTCCGACGCACTGCTGCGTTTATTGTAGGCGACATTGAACATTGGACCAGAAATTGTAACACATACTATACAGACTGTAAAAAGTCTAATAATTGTCTGTTTGATATAAATGAAAGTGCTATATATAACTTAGTGTCGTGAGAGGGCGGTAGAACTCATCAATTAGCCAGAAGCATCCTTTAAGGTCAGCGAAAATGTCCGGCAAGCACGAGTTCTGCCCAGGAGAGAAGCGGATGATTGTGTACAGCTACGAGTATTTCAAAAGCCAGAAGGAACAAGGCCTCTTCAAAGGCATCATGACACGCCAACTGGTCTCTGATTGCCTTGGTTGTGCTCCCAACACCGTTGACTCCGTGGTTTATGAGAAAGAGAATAACCCACACACTGATTTTGAGGTATATCAATTATAACTGATATTTTAACACTTCCTTTTTAAACTAATATTTGTACAAAGCCCAGTGAAAACGACAGAGGTCGAAAGCGAGATTATGACCTGACGGATACCTTTATAATATTTTTCACCATCCTGCTGGCAGAATTGAATGTTAAATCGACAAGGGCAATCTGCGACCGGGCGATGTGTCATCTTCCTTTTTGACATATGATTTTGATTCTAGACCAATCATATCTGTGTATTTAGCGCGCCTTTCCCCCGAAAATGACAGTGTTCTGAGAGGGCATTTTTAAACGACTGTAGCTCCAAAACGGCTGGGAATTGGCTAAAAATTACCACAAAATCGAAATCTAAACGCATGATTGCACCCTATATCTAAATGTCGATCTAGGTTTTCCTAAATGTAGACCTCTTATGCCTCTCTAAATTCTGGCCCAATGTTCAATGTCGCCTTACAATATCCTTTTACGCAGAGTCCCATAGTCCGTTGATCTTTAACTTCAGCAATGGCTGTACTCGACCAATGCATTACAACTGCACTCATGGTGCTTCGCCAATATTCATTTCAACAGGTATGTCAGACGATCAAAGCATTAGAGATAGTATTTTCTATCGTGGTTATAGCTGACGTTTAGAATCCAATAGGATAGCCGTTCGTGTAAGACGATGCGGCATCAAGATAAAAGATGCGTGGCACGCCTTAGTCTCTTTTTATTTCGTCTTCAGTGATTTCCATGATGTTACGGTGCATGTCACTGTATCAATCATGCCCCAATGGTAATAGGGAAGCAAGAGAGATCTTTGAGATCTACGATCACGATCGTAGATGTCTCGGAGAAAGACGGCACCGTGATAAGTCGAACTTGCTGATCTTTTCCTCCTGTTAAAAAATAGCAATTAGAGATCAGAGTACATCGTAACTCTAGCTGCAATTCATACCTTTGACGAGACGTGTACTGAATCGAGGCTGGTTGCCTGAAAAATACACATGCGGGCAGGTTTCGAGGATGAACGGGTCCTCATTGGCCATGGGGAAGCAGGCCAAGATGTCAGGCGCAGTAGGAGCAGCATGACGCCACTCCACACACAGCTCAAGGTAGTCCAGTGCACGCTCTTGTTCTTGCTCCTCTGTAGCCATCTTCTCGTCGTTATCGTCCCTTTTGGGCAGTGTGCACTGCAGCATACTATGCAGAGGCTGGCCAGCATCTCCAAACAGCTGAACGCCTCCAACTTGAGCCTCGTATGGGTTCGTGACACAGCGGAAAGACTGGAAGTGCGAGCTGCGCGGGAATAAACACGGATGGAAACTTTGCTGCGGTAGAGTATAGTTACTGGGGTCCGAGGCTCCGGGCATGAGGTCTACACACATGGCCGCGGCCAATGTCGACACCAACTCGTCAGCGTTTCTTAAGGGCTCGCCCTCCAGGGCCAACTGCTCGGCCGTCTTGCGTTTGATCGTAGGCACCTGCACTTCATCACTACCTGTGGCTTGTATCACGTTGCCTACCACGACTGTTCTAACGATCTTTGACACAAACTCTCGTTCGTTTTCGTCGCCCAATCGGCCGGCCAGATAGTCCATGAGGACGTGATTGCGGATCGGTTGGTGGTCCTTGTTACGGCCGATGTTCAGGCCTGACACCAGGGCCACATACTCACTCTCTTGTCTCTCTGGCAATGGATGTTGGGGCGGGAACGAAGGGAGATATACCTCCTCTACGTGGAAATGGCCATCTGGCCCGTCGCGGGCCACACGGCCACGGACACCAAGTACGACGCCAGTGACAAATCTAGCTACGTCGATGTTGCCGACGAGCTGTACTCGGCCACTCTCGTCCTCGAGCAGCAATTCGTCGTCTTTGGTGGCCAATGGCCGACCGATCGTCTCAATGGGCTTAACACCCGATTCGCTGGTAAGTGCATCGAATATGTCGGGCTTGGCCTCCAATACCTTGAGCAACGTACCGATAAGCACACACTCTTGGCCGTCGGCCTTGAGGTCAATGACCTTGGCCAACACCGGAATACGGCCGGCCGTGTGCTCTTGGACCTGGACACTCACAACATCACGTAGCTGCTGCAATCGACTCACGTAGATGTGCGAGAACTGCTGAGCGTACGATTTTTGCTTCAGCACAAAGCGCTGGTAAGTTGGCGTGTATTCGACGGAGTGGCGCGAGATCTGAAGAGAGAAATGGGGGTGGCCACAGACATAGGAACAGGGCCAAGCATGTTAGCAACCAGATGAGATGATGGCTACAGAGCGGCCGGCTCTAGAAGACGCAGGAGAGTCACACGTAGCGAACGATCTGGGGCGGGAGACGTACCAATGTTGTTGGCGCCATTTTGACAAAATGTGGACTTTGATGTACCCACATTATCGCAATACAATTTTCATGTTTGAAAAACTAGATTTAATGTTGCATCATTTTGTTTAATTGCTAAAAAACTACTTGCAAGCCTCAGAGTGTGACTCCACTTCGCTTAACGGCATCTGCTTGCGGCATTTCGAGCATCTCACCGCAACAGTTGGTAGTGTCGGTACAATACGACGTTGGGGTGTCGATTCTATCGCATTCTCTTCAGTTTTTACCGTTTGGCGTACTATTACACGAATACAATGCCAGTCGACACGAACAACGTCGTGTATCTTCGAGTCCCAGGACATCACGGCTTGATTTTTCTTCACTGAGTCGTAGAATCCAACAACCTCAGTAGCCATGGCCTTTGCTTCATCGTCCTCCAGTTCATACATGGGGAAAGTGTTTAAACGCTGATTAATCTCGTGTTTTAACCAATCGAACGTTGATTTGTCTGTGAAATACACACGAAGGAGCCGGACCGGTCCAGTCGTGGTCCTCGCATCCGTAGCAATGAAAATCTCAACAAAGCAACCGCGCGAGCGCTCTGTACTACTCTTGGCCACAGGACACAGCAGCGAGTTCTGAGATTGTTGAGGTGGTGTTGCCATAGCGTTGGCCAATATTTTCCACAGGTCAATCACATTTTTATCCTGTGTTTCACGTTCATTGCGTGGTGATAGCGCGATCCCAAGTCGATGAATCTTGTCGTGTAGCTGCATTTTACTGGCAACATCAAAGTGCATTTGCCGGGCATCAATCTCGCAGCCTCAATGGAGCACCACTCGTGCAGCAGGGATATCCTGTGTGCTTAAACGAAGTAAATCACCATAACATGCTAACGACAGTGCTAACTGTAGTCGTAGCGAGTGTTCGCGAGAGGTCTTGATGGCATATTCCAGTTGTGACTGAGCCAGCTTCGTGGATGCTGGTGAAGTGGCTAGTAATGCTCGTTGGAGATTGATAAACCCACTAACCAACCACGTTAGAGTGTGCAAATCCGGTTCGTCCAGAACACGCGACAACTCCATCGCTGTGCCAAGTAAGAAATGACACTGTGGGTTGTCCAGCTCCACCTCCCTCGAGGAAAGACTGCAGTGCCAGTTGAAAATCTAATTCTCTAATGGTATTTTACGTCAAGCCCTCCCGCTCGCAAGTTTTAAAACTAAGCGTAGGTTGAAATCGCACCGCGTTAAAAATGCCTGGAAAAAGTTTCTCGCGCAGTTCACTGCTGGTTCCCGTGCTCCGCTCTCACGCTAACAGTGCCACATTCAGATTCATCAGCATCGATCTCTAATGCGAGTATCACGCCAAGCGTGATGCTGCTCGCTGGAATCAAACACCATTCGTGGCGAAACAGGTGTTTTAACGTCTTTAATCAACGTTTCAGCAGCTTTTTCGGCTTGAAACCGGCTTGCCCACGTCAGCGTAGTCTCAGTCTAGCGCCACATGTGGGGCCGAGGCAGCCACGAGTGCGTCCAAGAAAGCTCCTCGACTTAAGTTATGCTCAAATTCGACCCACAATTTGCTGCCATCTTTCACTACCACGACCAGATCTTTCGTTCGCGCTGCTAAACTGCCCGACTCGCCTGTTGTACTCACTGTTTTGAAGGTGAGTTGCACCTGCGTGATTGCTGAGTACTCGATGGCAGCCCATGGTTGGTAATCGTCGTATGAATGCACGTGGGGACACTGAAATTCACTTGCAAGTCGCTGTTGTGTGCTGCTTTCGAGTGTAAGTTCTGATGGGGACATACACACACACGAACGCGTTTGTTGTTGTTTACGACGAAGGGCGAAGAGATGAGACTCTCCCAATGCAAGCAATAAGTCCGTGTCAGTTCGGTATGGTGTCTTCTTGTGCGTCTTGAAGCAACCCTTGCTAAATTGCTCGTCTTCTGTCCATTCGTCTTCTTCGACGTACACACGCGCCAAGACGCCGTAGTGGCAAATGCTTGAGGTTGTCATGGTCCGAGGAAACGTCGAAGAGGTGAGAGCAGTGCGTTGAAATGCACCAATTTGGCGAACACGACGAATTTATCCCGAAATAGAAAATCACTGAATAAAAAATTAAAAAATTAAAAAAAAAAACAGAAATGAGAGAATATGGCAACGACGAGACTACGACTTCGAGCCATTCTAGCGAAGTGTTGCCGCCTTCAAGGTAGGCTTCATATCATTGAACGTTCACTTGAGCGTCGGACCCGAGTCGCTCATCGAATTCATCGCAAAATTTGTCAATGACTGCTGGGTTTGAGAAAGAGGGTTGTGGTGATCTGCGGACAAGATTCGTTGACACGCGAGTCGGGACCCGGAAGCAAGGGTGAACACAAAAGAAACTTGTCAGAAGCATTATTATCCATATACCGGTGCTCTTAACTTTCTCGGACACACGATGCTATTTTGATCAATCGAGTCAGATGAAGCTCAACTCCCGAACACCACTTAAGTGGCAACTACTGACAGCCTTTTGCAGCGAGATTTCGGTGGCAAACGGTTGCAGCTTTTTATTTCACTGTGAATATACAGTTGTTGTGGTGTACGGTATCTACAGTATAATAGTTGTGGCTTCACGACTGTGCATGTCACGACGTTGCCACACAGCTTCGTGTATGATCGAACCTGCAGCCACCTGCGTCTCGGTCGTACAGCCGATGTTGGTCAAGAACGACGAGCGGATCGCCAGCTTTTTGGGTCCTCGAAAGCGTGTGGCGGGTTAATGCAGCTGACCAGCTGCAATCGCCAACTTGGCGAGCGGATAGGCAAAGCAGAATGGCTGCGATAAGACGCTAAACAGGTGGTCAAAGTCCGCCGTGGCGTGCGTCGCCGGTCAGAACGAAAGGTGCGAGGTGGAGTGTACTCATTAGCCATCATGGCGGACAACGTGAAGATTATCGGAGACGATGATGAAGTCTTCACGGGTATCCGACCTCCGCTTCATCGTCGACACACACTCGGCGGAAATTCGTCTCTCGCGTCGGACTTGGCGCATACTCCCGTAGTCTGGAGACCGGTGATGCCCATGGGTCGACGTTCAACGTTAGCGTCGCGTTCGGAGACGGATGAAGTTGGTGAACTGCGCTCTACTATCGACGGATCTATGCGGACCGTACGGTCTATTAGTGACGCTACAAGTACCAACCGCCGTCCCGATAAAACCACCTTCGCGCTACACGACGTCGACGCCTTTAGTGTTCAGCGAGCCAAGGTATCAGCGAGGAACGGTACGTGCGTTTCCGTAACTTTTTCAGGAGCTACGAATCGGGAATGGCCATGGAAATTCAAGCCC